AGGCGATTTTCAAGTTGAGAACAAAAGATACAGGGGGCATGGAAGCTGAGCCAAATTGGGAAAAAAGAAAATTAGGCCACAGATAGGAAGAAGAGGCTAAAACAAATTATGGACATAGATGGTTCGTGCCCCTATAAATAAATTATTGATTGTCAATGTCAAATGATAACATGATTATTTTCCATGTAGTGTGTACGTTGGTGGGTAGACTAGTTCAGGCTCCAAAATTGACCCCCAAAAAAACTTTTCTTCTGAAGTGAAAATCACACAACTGTCTGGTCACAATGAAAATTACTTGGAATAGCATCTACGATCTAGTAGTAGGCCTCTTATGTGATTTTCCATCAAAAAAAAATTTCGTGCTTGATTTTGTTCTTTTCTCCTTTTCTAGTGCAGTTTGAAATGTTGTTATCCCCTTCTTATATTCTCATTTTAAAATGTGTTGAATAAGACGATCAAAATGATACGTGACACGTGCACTTTGGACTATTCCTTGTTGAAATATCATCATTTATTTTCAAATTCATCCTTTTCCGGACACATGAAAAGTGACCCCGCTCTTAATCTACATACCATGTTAAAGAGATTTATGAGACAAAATTCTTTCTGTTTTGTTTCATATGAAAGTACACTTAATAACCTTTAATTTGATGGGGAAAAAAACAGGAAGATATCTTTACAGGTTGCGAAGTTATGTACATTTTGGTCGATTTTTGTCCTCCTTTAGTCACAAAATGCAGTGCAAAAATAGGACCAGATTTTGAGCGAAAAATAAAGTAGAAAAAATCCCATAACTTCTCAACCAATACAGATATTGACAAAATGCAAAAAGTACTGTGATCAGTGGGGCAGGACCTTTCATTTGAACCTATTTTCATTTAAATCGAACACGTTTGAATGTTTCACTGAACTGCCTTGTGAAAGGCTCGAAATGGGTCATGGAGAAGGGGGAAGCAAGGTGAACATCATTTTGGCATTACATTTGAATATTTGTCTTTTCTTATTCAACAGATCTCTCACAAGAAAGAGAAATGTCTACGTCATCCTTACATAAATTATACAACGTAGATCGAGATACATATTGTACATATGTAATTTTTATAATAATAGAATTTAGAAAGATAATTTTATATGAGATAAATTTAATGCAAAGTCTTAACGACATGTCACTGAAGGGCAGTTCATGAGGTTCCATTTCATCACAATCGTTAGAATCAAGAAGGAATCCAAGTTCAAATTATTATAATAAATAGCTCATGCCCAGGTATAGAGATACGTTTATTTAATCTGCTTCCTGTCTTATAGAATACGTCATTCGTTATTACCTTCAGCAGAAATCTGGTGGTCTTGACTTTGGAATTCACGGAAACATCACGTGAAATGGGAATTAGCGTTTGATCAAAATCCAACGTGATCTCTCACTTTCTAAATTTGTGGGGGCCGCGAATCTTGTTATGAACAGACAGGCAATGAAATTCAATTTAACGATGGACGACATAGTTACAGAACGTCACGAGACTTTCATGTCGGACAAAACCGTACAGTTCGAAAGTCAATGTTAACCCTATCCGTACACCCTGGGGTCTTTTTGTACCCCCATTCTTCACATTTTAAAATACTTTTAGTACAAAGATCTCTTTGAAACTTTCAGTATTTCTTTTTTTTTTTACGTTTTGACAGACTACTACGCGATAGTATCTTTGGATAGTGGAGGCACAGAGTTCCCCATATCAAATGGATACGATAGTAAAACACGACGTACGGATAGGGTTAAGAAGGATGTCTTTGGCTCTGACGTACACAAAACGCTGACATGCGTCTTTACTTTGATTTGTGCTATCTTTTCGGCCTTATTACATTATTATTCTGACTTTGCTCAACTGCTAGGTCTAAATGACGGTTGCACCCAAGAAAAATATACTATTATTCCGACTTTGTAAATGAAGATTAAACCCTGGAATGTCGTTAGGTTCAGAAAG